AATTTTCTGGTTTGTTTCTGAGATTTGAGATTGATTGTGAATTATGGATTTTTGGAAATCCTGCATGGTTTTGTCTCGGATATAGTCATGATTACCGACGCCCGCTAGTGGGAGCTGTAAACGCTAGCACATGTCGACATGTATTTCTGTAGAACCGGTTCGTCCTGCCAATGGGATAAAACATTGGCACTATTGCTGACGCCTGCCAGTGGGAGTGTGTTAAACACTGGCACCATTACTGACGTCTGCCAGTGGGAGTGTGTTAAACACTGGCCATGACTTATAGATGAGACTATTGAACTGAGTTTTATTCTGCATGAACGGTTTGTCATGAATGCTTTGCAATTGAACTGAATCTGATTTTGTCACTGAGCGTTTTGGTTATATTAAACTGTTTATCTGGCATGCTTAAAAGTTTTACCCCAGGGCTATCCATATTTACTTACTGAATTATCTCATAGTTTTCCTTGTCCACCATTTCAGGAATCGAAACCGAGGACGAGGGAAACCAAGGGGAGTGACGAGTTAGAAGGCTAGCCACCTGTAATTTGATATAGATTATGATCCTGTAAGCTAGAGTGTATTTGGAGATTTTATGATATCAGAGTAGATTGTAAAAATTTTATCTTGAGATTTGGTGGTATCAGATGTGATTTGGATAAGTTCCGAGCCTTGTGCATTTGTGGGACCCTCTCACGAGTGCACGGCGTCTGTCGCGCCTCGAATTCGGGTTTTGGGGCGTGACAAACACAATTGAGTTTATTCATGTATATATGGACCGTTTTCAGTCTGAATATATACATGTAAACCCTATTAGGGTTTCACTTGGATATACAGACAGAAATCAGTCCGTATATACATGAATAAACTCAATTGCGTTTTACATGTATATATGGACCGATTTTGGTTCGTATATAGGCAAAACCCTAACAGAGTTTGAGGACACTAGAATATATTCGGACCAGGTGTGGTCTGTATATATGCCCAACATCTAGAAACTTCTACGCTTACACTTTTTCAAACTGTTTTTGGCTCGAATATATTGCAAAAAATCCAGAAAGTTCTCCTAGTGCACATTTTTTTCTTTTCATTTAAGGACATCACTATCCTCTCGTGGCCCAATTCTGTTGTTATGAAAGCCAATTGCTTGTATATCGAAACTACAGTCTTCTCCAACCTCGGAACCATCGATTGACCACTTGAAATTATCTAACAATGGTATAGAGTGACATTGTTAAAAAACCATGAATGTATAACTATAAGGTTACTAGATTTAAAGTTAGGTAATGTCCTTTTAGAGGTGCAAACAATTAAAATTGATTTTATTCAGTTAAGGTTAACCACTTTGGCGCCCACACATTCAGAATGTTATGGTTTAAAACGAGCGTAGAACGAAACAAGTACAACCCTAAACCCTAAACCCTAATGATATTCTGCATATATATACGGACTGAAACCGATCCATATATTATGAGAAGAATTTATAGATTCTGAGTTATATTGGGACCGAAATCGGTCCGTATAAATTATTGGGACCGGGTTAGGTCCCAATAGGATCCAGTAAGCACTTTTCCCACCTGTTGCCTTATCTAGCTTCTAATTCGTTTCGCTCTCATTTTGAACCAAGAGATTCTGAATGTCTACATGACAGAAAACCAAACCATAACTAAATGACGTAAATGAATATTAAAAATTATATATTTAGATATTATTAATCTTTTGTATAGAATATTTTAATTATTTAGTTACAATTATA